CGGTGCTTGAAAGGGCTGGAATAATCCCTTGAGAAGGAGAAGTGCAGCCGGTTCTGGACCCATCCTTTTGCCATGGCGGGGTAGCTGCATGTCAACACACTAAACACAGAGCTGGCTCCTTCCGAAGCTGGCTCCAGATTTTGGACCTGACAAGTAAGACACGGTTTTAAGGAACGAGTTACCCAACACATCCCTTCCAGCTCTTGTCGTTAGCCTTTAATTCCACTTAGGGGGAAAACATGCTTAATTGTTTCAAAGATTATTACTTTTTTAAAGTAAATTTCTAGTAAATGGGGAGATTAATAATGGGCTATTTTTTTCTCAGCTTGTGGTTTCTAATTACATCAGTTACAGCTCAGCCTTCCTCTTAACTGGAGAGCAGGCATGAACTGGAAAAGAATGAGCTAATCCTGATAGATCAGGTGGAAGAAAGCCCTCCATTCAGGTCTTTACCTTTCATCCCTTGTTCTGAGTGCCAAGAATTAATGCTGTTTGAAAGTACAAACTGATCCTGCCAAGCTCCGGCAGCTGAGATAATCCTAATTATTTTCAATGTTAGTGAGAAGGGCCACAGTCCCACTCTGGAAGAGGGTTCTATTGTGAAACATTAAATATCTGCTAAGTGGTATTGATTGGACACGATTTTATTTCCAAACACTATGGTTATCTCGAAGCAGAAGGATTTGTTGTTGAAGACATTTTCACAGCTTTTCATCAGATTCCTTTAAGCCTACAGACTATCAAGAGGCAAGCACTTTTAGTACCCCTTGGCAGGGGCATGCAGGTAAAGAGCCCATAGCCCCAGGGAAGGCCATTTGCATTTTATTTTCGAAGGGTTTCTTAGTAAGGCTTTGCTAGTGTTTAACCTACAGAGAAAAAACATTTTTTTTCTTCAGGCATGAATATCGTGTGTTTTCTCAAATCACCAACAGAGAATTATTCGTTCCAGGCCATCAACTTCATTCCTACAGATCATTCAAGTTAAAAGTCAGGGGTCTTTGCAATGTCAAAAGACAGAGTGGCTTTGAGTGTGTTTACTATTCCCAGGTTTTTTTTCTTACTTAGCTTTTTTGTAGTGTGTACTGTGTCTCAGAAAAGAACACTTTGTTTAGATAGCATCTGAAACCATCTCAACTGTTTCCTCCATGCTGGTGAGGACCCTGATGTGTAAGGTGTGTTTGTTTTTAGCCCTTAGATGCTGTAAGCCTAATTGGTGGCTTGAGAGGAAGTGGTCCCAGTCCTGCTGGTTCACACAAGGGCCAGCCTCCTTGGCTTAGGACCCCTGACTGTGACAGAAGGACAGTCGGAGAGGGCAGGTTTTCCTTTTCTCTCTGCAGTCTACATTTTAATGCATTTCTTCTGTTTCTGCGAAGGCCCAATGCTCACTGGGAAGGAGAACCCTTAATTGATGTTTGCTACTCATGCTTCCTGCCCCTTCCTAGGCATCTGCCCTCTCCCCTGCGCACAAGAGTGAAGCCATGGCATCATCAGTGAAGATTATGTGGGTTGAGCATCTCTGGACCAATTACTCTTTCTTTAGGTTATTCCCCAGAGTAGAATTACCAGGTCAGAGGGGATGAACAGTTTTACGGTTCCTTATCACATGTCACTACACTGCTGTCCAGAATGATTGAACAAATTTCTCCTCATAGCAGTGCTGCCTGTGTCCCTTCAGTGGGGAGGACACCAGGAGTTAGCAGCAGGCTTACCAAATGACACAGACAAGCTTTTTGGGTTGAAACAAATTCCCCTGCAGGGCCCATGAGGGTCAACTCAAAAGGCAAAAGGGATCCTGTCGAGTTTTTTAATTGTCTAATTGGTACTAAATCATTTATGACTACAGTTGCTATGTTTGCCTCCAGAAAAGTTAAATAAAGTCTGTTTAAATGGACAATATTTAAGGATGCTAATAAAATAGATTGTGTGCATTTGTCACGAACAACACCAAGTGGGCACTTGGGAGATGCTATCCAAAATGAGTTAAACAGATTGTGACATTAACTTCAACTCTTTTTTTTTCCCCAGAGAATCTAGACTATGTGACTGTCGGAATAATGTAGGGACATTACTATTTTCCCAGCCCTTTTACTAACAACCCTGACTCTACCATATATTTCCTAGTGAAGCCACAATAATAGTATATGAACTAACACTCTGAGACATATATTCTTACTACTATTACCTCCTTTCCTCTAGAAACATTTTCTCTAGAGTCAGTGTCTTCTTTCTATTTATTTATTTATTTTAACTATACACTTTCCCCCATTCCCCTTCTCTCCTCCTCTCTCCGCCTCCCCCCACCCCCCCCAAGCTCCCAATTTACTCAGATCTTGTCTTTTTCCCTTCTCAGGCAGATTCATGTATGTCCCTCTTAGGATCATCTTTGTTACCTAGGTTCTCTGGGGGAAACAACAGTCTCTTACTTAAAGATAGTACTAGCCCTTGAGCGAATGTGAAACTAACAGGGCTTTAAGTTTGGACTGGAGAAACTTAAAAGAATAGCAGTGCTTTTCCAGATAGATAGAGTTCATTCTTTGCCTCCTCTCTGGAACTCAGTTCCAGGCACCTAGAACCTCAATGGTGGTATATTTGTGGTCCCAATTCACAGATATAAAGGGCAACTGAGACAGAAGGGGGTCTCTCCCAAATTCTTCTCTTGCAGAATTCTCACTCTTGCCTTTCTTAGGGCTAAATTGGCAGAATGAGAAGGGACCAGGGCACCTCCTTCAGCTTCTCCCCAAGTGCCAATGACAGTTCACTGGAGGCCCTTGCTTATTCCCATAAGCCCTCTGCATCAGTCTGAGAAGGACAGTTTGGTCCCTTAATCTCAAACAGGAACTGGGTGTGGGGAGGTTGAGTAGCCAGTTTCTCGGTGTGATAATTCAAAATAAGCTGGTATAAGGGCAAGAGCAGGCCAGAGACTCTGGGTCCTCTGTGTATAAAACAGGGAGAGGAATTCTCTTAGTGAATGGCTTGAAGGTGAAATACCTCTCTACAGTAAGTGACCTCTGGAGTTTAGTCAATAAACATTCATCCCCCCCCCCTTGGCTTGGAGACAGAAGATTCCCTGGCTTGGTGTTGGTGTGAGAACATGCAGATGAACAAATAGACTCCAATCTGCTCTTCAGATCTGCCTACAAAGATGGTCTCTGAGCAAAAGTCTAGTGTTTATTAGCCACCATGTGGTTGCTGGGAATTGAACTCAGGACCTCTGGAAGACTACTAGCCAGTGCTCTTAACCTCTGAGCCAACTTTCCAGCCCAAAAGTCCAGTGTTTTTGGCATCTCTTTGTAGATGTATTTGATGAGGGGCATATGCATATGCAAATTCTTTTGCAAAAAATTTGAAGTTCATGAGTTCATGGGTTTTAGTAAGAAGCCATTATGTACTGCAATAATGTAAGAGCTTTTTGGGCCCCCAGTGTGTGTGTGTGTGTGTGTGTGTGTGTGTGTGTGTGTGTGTGTGTGTGTGCGCACGCGCGCGTGCTGTTTTTGCTATATTTATATATGTACACACCTATTCTTTGATACCTATAAAATACTATTTAATATGTTTTTTAGTATACAAACTCATGTGTTCTCTTAAAGAAAATTGAACAAATACCTTCAATACAAAAATGAATTGTTAGAAAATTGCTCCTTAACTCTGTACAATGAGTTTTCAGATGATCTCTTTCCTTGTTGGATGCTGAAGTGTCTATGTCAATGTCACTTTTGAGCTTTGGGGTGTAATGTGGTTGGGCAGAGTGGTTACAGGCCCACTTCTTGATCTGGGTTCTGTTATTTCTGTGTGGCACCGAATGGCATTCATTTCCAAACCCATAACAAATATAAATAGTGTTCTCTTGTAAAAGGATCTCTTTTCGGCATGGTAAAATACCTTATTAAATTCCAAACATAATAAGTATTGATGGCAAACACATCAGGACCCAGTTCAGCTTCCACTGTGATTTAGTTCTCTACAGATGACTTCAGCACTCAGCTCCCAGTGCATTTTGCTAATTACATCATAGATTTCCCTATTGATGAACACAAGCTGAATTAACACAGGAGCACTAATGTACCCTTTCACCATTATTGTCGTACAAGAAGCCGTGGCAGATGCTGGCAGTTAGTTACACAAACATTAGTATTAACGATTGGCCATTTGGAATTGGTGACAAACTACTGCCCGGCAGAATCCTGAGGCCGAAACCAATCAGGAAGTTAATGAGGAGAGAAATTACCGAGGCAGCTTCCCCTTAATTACATTCACACTAGGCATGAAGGGAGTTCTAGGGGTGGATCTAAACTCTGCTAAGGTTAAGAAGGTCAGAGACCCTTTTGCTTAAATTTTGTATCTACTGTGGCTTCTAAGGTTTCAAAAAAATTGTTGGGCCCATTATTATTTTTATATCCTTCATATTTAAGGTCAGTTTCCCAGTGGAATTTTCATGTTTGTAGACTAGTTCCTTAAGTCTCATATTTCAGTGTGATATAATTTATCTTTTTTTATTAAAAATCCCTTCTGCTTACGACCTTTTACTTCTTCATAGTTATGCAAGCTGACCACCCCTCCCCCACTTTGTTGCCCAGTGGTAGCCAAGAGACATAGCAGGAGAGTTGACAGGCTGCCGAGTTCACCTGCTGGATCTTGCCTTTCCTTGGGTGAAAGTGTAGGGGGCGGAGTCCTGCTTAGGGATCACGCCTCAGGTGGGGATCTTTCTAGGAGAGGAGTTTCCTCAGCATCCTTCACATAAAGGGGAGGGGTGGAAAGTCTTCCAGAGTGAGTGGAGTGGTGGGTTGGTGGTTGCTTCTCAATGAACCGTAAGTCTGGGATTCTGCTACCTCACTTTCCCCTCAGTTAAGCAGATGTGCTGTAAATATGACAGCTTTTATTCTAAGGAAGTGAAGGAGGGGCTCGGAGGGGCCATAAACACAGAGTGCCTCTTTGTTGGAGCCTAATTGAACACTGAAGAAAGGCTAGTCATTTTTAATGTACTCTCTCCACTCCCTTCCCAGTGTTCTCACCGCCCAGCAGTCAAGATTCGGGCTTGGTTTCCCTCTCCAGCAGCTCTCCCATGAGCAACGAGAGCACCAAGGGAGTTCTGGAATGCGAGTCTGCACCTTCTGAGCCCAGCAGCTACACTGTCAACCAGGTCCTGGAAGAGGATGACGACGAGTGAGCCGCCGGTCGGGTCGACTCGGTGTCCACAGGATAGTAGAAGGCTTGTTATCCACAGGGTTTGTTATTTGTATTTTTCCGTTTTGAAGTTTTGGTTGATATTCCTTAGGGTTAGGTTAAAACACTTGTTACAGTGTAGGATTCCTGACTACCAACTGCAAGAATTAAGTGTCTGGCTCACCAAGTTTAATCCATAGTTGAATCTCTCCCCTTCCCCACTCCTGCCCCCCCCCAACTAATTGACCATTGGCCCAAGTTAGTCACAATTACATGCTACTTTTGGAGTTAAAATGAAATCTTAGGTGCCTTCGAAAGTTTTCAGGATTTTAACAAAGCCAAGTACTTGACCAGAGAGAAGAGCAGGCAAGATTTAGAAATATGCAGAAAGTAAATGGGAATGACACTGTTTCTGTGTTGCTGTTGGAAATAGCTGTATCACACACTCCAAATCCAAACTCCAAATGTAACTGAAATACAGTGAGAGAGAACTGTTACTACTTTCCCCGATAAAGGGTAACTTAAAAGCAATACAACATGAAGTAACCTGGTGAGGTATTTCCTGGGTGGTGTTCCTAGAATGAGTTTAATGTGTATATTTTCTTTACTACAGGGGAAAAGTGGATGCAATCTAGATGATTTTGTAACCTTAGGTTGTAATCTGAGTTGAAAATAAGTACATCTTTAAAAGTTACCACTGAAATTTGAGTTCATTATTTTGTTAAAAATTGCTTTTGGAGTACTTCCTTATGTAACAGAAGCCATCCTGAAATGAAACTAGTCTAAAAAATTAATTGTGGTGTGTGGTTGCAGCTGTACCTGAAATAAAAACGTTATTGATGACTGCATTTTCTTGTGTGTATATTTGGGGAGCCGCATTAAACAGGAAAAAAAGAAATTACTTGTATTTTTTTCGCTCTGTGCTTTGAAAACATCTATTTGATTTCACCCCCATCTGTTGTAATCAATAACCTGACCATCTTGTTTTTTATTAAATGCACTTACTCTTAATTTCATCCACCAGTGGTTTTAGAGAGAATAATGTGGAGTTACCTATATAGGTTTGACATTATAAATCACTTCTTGGGGCTGAATCGTATAGCGGTATCGATTGATCCTGATATATCACAGAAATTTACTGTCACTTCTGTTTTCAATTAAAGATACAATCAGTCAGATAATGACTTAATTGGATTTTACAGAAGATTGAGTTTTATTGCCCAGTGCTTTACGAGTTTAGTTAAGGAAGATCATTTTATCACACTTGTCAGGCCGCTGCTACTGCAGCCTGTGCCCTTCTGCAGCTGTAGCTACTGTGGCGACGACATCGGAGTCCGCCGGGGAAGGGGAACGGTTCCTAGTGGCTTTCCCTGTCCCTGCGTGAGGCCTGTCGCTGGCCCCAGGCTGTGCCCATGGTTGGGGTCCCCTCCCCTTTCAATCTTTGTAGCTTGGGAGCAGGCTTTAGTCTTGAGGTTCTCCAGGCTGGAGGGGCCTGGCCCTCAGTCTCTCAGTCCGGTCCAGTCCGCCCCCCCCCCCAAGCTGTCAGCGCTGGTCCCGAGGGAAAATGCCTTGATGTCCACCTGCTCGCCCAAAACCCAGTGTGAGAGCGTCCAGGACTCGGTACACGGGCCACACCCCGAGTTACTCCCAGTGATAGTAGCTGGGTGTCAGCGGCTGGCAGGTCTTTGCGGAATATGTGCTTTTGGAAGAGACTTGGGTCTTGTTGGCAGAGCGGCATTGAGGCGACCTTTGATTTTATTCTTGATTGCTAAGGAGGAGGCCAGTTCAGAGCCAGTTCAAAATAAATCTGGCCAGCCGCAAGCTGCGGGATTTTTACCAACACACTCAAATGCGCCCAGATTGTAGCAGCAAAACCACTTAGTCCTGTGGTTCTGTAGTGTTGTGTGGGAAGCGAGTGTAAACACATGCGTGCAAGTGGGGGTGCGGGGTCGTTCCCGGGGAGTCGTTGCCTTATCCATTCTGCAAACCCCGCAGGGGGGAAACCGAGGCAGGCTGACCTTCCTATGGAGATACCAGGCAAGCTCCTACCTCAGGACTAGTACTGAGGGTTAAGAGGGAGCTGTCGCTCAGGCTGGGGGTCGCAGGGATCCCTGCCCGGTCGTTTCAACGCGATCGACTGCGCAGATGCCCCTGGGTTCCTACACCACGAGCGTGTAGACTGCGCACGGAACCTGGCCCACGGCCACCCCGGCAGTAGACCGTTGCCTGCTGTCCACGCACTTAAAAAGGCAGAGTGGCCCCAGCGGGCCAGCCTCGCCGGCAGAGCACGGATCTCCCACACAGCGGTTTTGCAGGTCGGCTAGAAGACGCCTGCCCACGCGGGAAGCCGAGCGCCTCTGCTTTGCTGGCTCGGCAGTGCCCGGCCACTTTCCCACGCGGCCTTTGGAGTCCCACTCGGCCGTCTGGGACTTGAAGGGCCGCTAGTCAAGAGCGTGCACACGGCCTGGATAGAAACGTGTCCCGGACACAGGCGAAGACTAGCGGCCTCTAGTCGTCCACTCAGCGATCGTGAAGTTGCTTCCCGCCCACACTCGGAAAAGACGCACGAACTTCTTCCACCCCCCTGCGCCTGGGTGGAGGCGAGCCACGGTCGGGGGCGGGGCGAAGGTGGTGGGAGGAGCCAAGGTGTGCGGGGGCGGGGATGCTCGCCGGAAGTCGCCCCTTCTGGCTGCGCTGTGCTGGGGGAAGGGGGCCAGCTCTAGGCCTACTGTGGTCCTGTGTAAGGCACTGTACCTCAAGTCCTGGTGGTTCTAGTGTCCCCCAGTTTCGAACTCCAGGAGTGGAGCTCGCACTCTTACAGGGTGCTGGCAGCGCACCTCTTCCTGCTGATGGGCTGCTGGCCCTGGCGCCCTACAGGGGAAATTTCCCTCTGTACCACCTTGGCTTTACTCGCGGCTGTGTTCTCTGTTAGAAGGCAGAGTGGAGAGGGGGAAAGGGGAGAGAGGTTTTTTGGGGAAAAAAAGTCATGGAGAAGTCCACCTAACGCTCCTGAGGTGTTGACCTTGGGAAGGGAAACATTTACTTTGTCCCCTGAACGTTTCCCAAATTACCTGTCTCGTTTTGGTTTTTTGTTTTGTTTTTCAATCTTGAGTTTTTAAAACTACAGAAAGGCTGTGTATTTGAACTGTTATAAAGTCGACGTCCATCATTTTACCTAGCAGCAGATCCGGTTCCCCTAGACACACACTTAAGCAAAAGGGTTTGTCTCCCTTCCAAAACAGGACGGTCTCAGGAAGCTGGGGGGGACGGAGGGGGGGCGGGGGAGGACGGCTCATCGGAAGACCCTTAGAAATCTTTGAGTGGGGTGATACAGGAGATACACTCCCCAAAAGCTGGAGCCAGGCAGTCTCAACCATGCTGAGTGTGTGAGGAGTGTGCCCCCCCAGGCTAGAGTCGCTGGAAAGTTCTAGAAGCTGAAGGACTGGCCAGCACTTGCATAGAGCCAGCCCCTCTATCCTGGTACTGAGCGGGTCTTTTAATACAAAGGCAGCCAGCTCCTACTTCGCCATTTCTTCCCCACTGAGACAGTGTTGGTAGGTGACTGTCCAGAAAAACTTTCTCTGCTGCTCAAGGCATCCCTAGATGCGGGTCAGTAGTCCTTAACCGGTCAGCTCGCCGGAGAGGGGCTTGGGGATACCATAAGGCTTGAGGCTCTCCCCAGCCTTCGTCCTAAAACCCCAGCCACCACCCCCCCACTTTCTTTTAACTTAAAGCTGGCTAAAGAGAGATACCAACAGACACTGCCTGGGCAAGGGCAGCACAGCTTCTGCTAGGTTCCTGTGTAGCCAGAGGGTGACTTTTTTTTTTTTCTTCTGTCTGTACAGGGGTTTTTACAAGTGCTACCCTCCCCCGCATCTGTCAACACCAAAGTAACTGCGGAATAGCCAACAAAATAGGAACTCCGACTTTGCCCTGCCATGAGAATACAGAACAGATGTCTCCGTGTGTCTTACATCCAGCAGCACAATATGCAACCGCCCTTTGACTAAATGTGGCTGGGTGGGGTGTGGACAACACCTATCAGGACCCCCAGACTTGGAATCAGACACCAACACTTTCTCAGCAAGGACACCGGCCTTCAACGGTGGTCTTGGGAGCTTCAGATATTCACTCATCAAGTCACTGAGTGTGCACCAGAAGGAGTAAGCACATCGTCGTTTTTTTCCCACCCCCTTCCGTATTAATATCTGCCATATCTTACTCAGTTAATTGTGGTTTGAAAACACTAGCACACCACCCAGAGGAGCCGGGAGTGGGTGTAGTCTGGCGAGGTTACTTTCGCTTGTAATCCTCCCCTCCCTTTCCAATTTCTTTGATGATTTTTCCCATAAGTGCATGAGCTGCAGGGTCTTAGTAGAAGCAGGCTGCTCCTCCTAAATGTGATTCGGACCATATGCTTTCCACACTCATTCCCGCATGGGCTTTCTTCTCTGAACTAACTGCTAACACGTTATAGTCACCTTGAAATTTCCTCTGCTATTTTCCAATTAAAAGCTTAATAGCCCTGGAAACGGAGTTCATGTGGTGAAGTTTACCATAGCCCCTTGTTCTGAAAGGCTTTTTGCTGGGATCCCATTATGTGCTTGAATAAACCCTTTCTGCAAACAGAAATGGGACTCGGGGTTGTCAGGTGTTGGGTTACAATAGACTTTGAGGCAGGGGACATTTTACCAACATAAATACAAACCTGTCCCTATAGGGAGATGTTGTCAAATACTGGGATATGGAAAACATTCCCATCAAATATGAGAAAAGGATTACTGCGCTATATCAAATGAGTATTTAGATCTCAGCCCTCGATGTGCACTGGAGTGAAAACGGGCCAGTACCAAATAATACTGAATGTGTGAGTGGCATTGGGGTAGGGTGGCTAGGTGACCCAGGAAGGAGAGGGGATTGCCTTGAGAATGAAAATGTCCCCCAAAACCTGGTGTAGAGCTCCCCTGCTTTCCTTCCTCGGAGAAACTAGTTACTCTCATTTTCCACATCCGTTTCACTACCCATTTAGGAGAAAATCATCTTTCCGAAAAGTTCATGGTCCCTGTGTTGCTGAGAGACACGGATTCAGAGCGGAAACAGAGCACGTTCCCAGGTTCGTGTTCTTCACAGTTCGTGAGAATTGACTCCCTCCCTCCAGTAGGCAGCCACTTTTGAGGTCCCACGATCTATCCACGGGTGACCTCTGTCTCCTGTCCCCACAGTTTATGAAATTCCTTCCCCTTGTAGTGTTAGGAACTTGTTTTCCTGGCGAAGGATAGAAAGGATTAGGAAAGGGCAAGAGATAGGGGTATAGGGGATAGTCTCTCAGAGGTAGCATCCGTGTGCAAGGACTTCCTCCCCAGTCCCAGCAGGTCAGTCCCCAGCAACACTAACTACTCCAGGAGTCTGAAACCCGGGTGGCTAAGGGCGTCGAGGGCAGAAAAGGCATGCAACTTATAGTCCTTGTTCAAAGTTTTCTTTCCAAATCCCTCTTCCAGGCCAAGAGCTTGCTGCTTGAACGCGCTAGAATTCACACAAGCCCAGCGGGGCAGACGCGCTCTCCTCTTTGGCTGGCTGTAGGGTCGGGCCCCGGAAAGCTACCTCCAGTATACGACTGTGGCCTCTGTGCAGTCCCGGGGACAGGCATCGCAAAGGGCCCGTTCATGTTAACTTTCATCCACACCTCAGAGAGCAGAGCTTGATGCAGGACTTCCATCCTCCCCTTCCAACAGCGCCATTAACTGCTCCTGAGCCTACATTGTACCTTGTGTTTTATTTGGTTGTTTTCTTGATGGGGTGGGAGAAGGCAGCTTCTCTGTGCGTATGTAGTGGTAGCCGGTATTAGACAAACCAATGCTGTAAACAAGCAAAGAATAATAAACACAGTTGATGCTATCAAGAAGAAAAAGGTTTATGCGGTCATCTTATATACAAGCCTCTTACCACTCTCACTCCAAGATTTTTTTTATGAGTAGGGTCCATCCCTTATCCGAAAATAAATCACAGAGCCTGTGGGGATTTGAACTGGACAATTCCGGAGCTTGGCTGTTGATTCTGTGACCGTTGCGGGAACAAAGTAGATCATGCTGGGTAAATTGGGGGCCACTAATGTGTCTTCTACCTCTGCTCTCTGAAAGTTAAACCATGCTTAAGGGAAACATCGGAGAAAGTACTTCCAGGCCTTTCAAGGCAGAGGTCTTTTAGGGCAGAGGTTGTTGTTTATTTTCAAGTCCGAATGAGGTGGTAGGAAATTAAAATTACCCAATAAAATGAGTTGTCTTCCTGAAGCCTGACAGATAAAAAAAATCATTTTCTTCTGAAGCAACGAAAGAGAAACTAGATTACAAAACGAAATGCAGAAAAGAGTCCCCCAAATTTCCGGACCACCACTACCCCTCCTCACTCCTCTTATCGGGTACTTGAAACCTGGTCCGCCCGGGGCCGACCTGCGGTGCACCCTCAATTTCCTCTCACGCTCCGAATTGCTGAGGCCAAGTGTGGGTCTAGGGCTCAGTGCTTCCAGACCAGGCCTGGAGCACCGAGAGCTGGTAGGGGAGAGGCCAGCCCGCTTGCTTACAAGTACCCACCCCTCCCCTCCCGATATCCCCCCACCCCCCCTCCGCCCAGCACGCCCGGTGTAGCGCAGCGGCGCCGTCCCTCCCGCCTCGGGAAGGGGCAGTGGAGGGCTTGGAGGAGGGGGGGATGCTGTGAGCGCCCCCGCCAGAGAGGCCGGGTTGGCTGCAGGTGGCGAAGAAGGTGAGGTGCAAGAACCCGAGGGGTGCCAGAGAGGAGGAAAACGTGTGTGGGGAGTGCAAGGAGACTGGGACCCTGGGGGTGGGGGTGGCGATGGGAGGGAGGAGGGACAGGGTGGGGGAGGGCGACGGAGGAGGTGCTGGATCCTGCCCGAGAGGAAGGGAGCGGTAGAGAAGCTGGCTCAGACCTTAATCAGAGCTCTCACCAGCTCCTTGCAGCGGCCGGGGCTAAGGAGGACCAGCGGGTGGAGCTTGCGCTCTCAGGAGCAGCGGACGGAGACGCGGCCCGCGAGGGGACAGGAGAGCCACCAGCCCGGCGGTTCAGGCTGCGAACGCCTCCGGGGCCGGGGAGACTGCTGCGGTATCTCCGGCCGCTGCCGATCTTCCTTGACCTCCGGGAGCAGGCCTCCCTGTTCCGCGGTCCAGCTCCTGCCGCCCTGCTCCCGCCGCCGGCCGGGGGGAGCCCCGGGCATGAACGGCTACGGCTCCCCCCTACCTGTACATGGGCGGCCCGGTGTCGCAGCCGCCGCGAGCGCCTCTGCAGCGCACGCCTAAGTGCGCGCGCTGCCGGAACCACGGGGTGCTGTCCTGGCTCAAGGGCCACAAGCGCTACTGTCGCTTCAAGGACTGCACCTGCGAGAAATGCATCCTGATCATCGAGCGGCAGCGGGTGATGGCGGCTCAGGTGGCGCTTCGCCGGCAGCAGGCCAACGAGAGCCTGGAGAGCCTCATCCCGGACTCGCTGCGGGCTCTGCCAGGGCCCCCGCCGCCAGGGGACGCCGCCGCCGCCGCCTCCTCGCAGTCGTCGCCGGCCTCCCAGCCGTCCCAGCCGCCGGCGCCGCCTCGTCCCGCCACCGAGTTGGCTGCAGCGGCCGCGCTGCGCTGGACCACCGCGGAGCCCCAGCCCGGAACGCTGCCCGCGCAGCTCGCCAAGCCAGGTGAGAGCATCCGCTGGGCTGGGGTCAGCCTGGAAGGAGGAAACTTCGAGTGCCCTTGGGGATCCGTGTGGAAAGCAAGGGCAAGTTTGTGGGAAGTTGATCTAGTTGGGCCTACATCCCCAGCAGACACCGATTCTGACTCTCCGGGAAAAGTGAGTCTAGAGGGTCTGAATCCAATGCAGGTGGAACCCAGGAGCCTGCCAGGGAAGTCGGCCAAATAGCCAGGCTGTATGTCTCTGTCTCCTGGTGTCTTCTCTGAGCTGAAGGGGGGAACTTAACGTCAATTCTGCAAACGATTTGTAAAGCGAAGTCTGAGGAGGGACTGCCTTTAAATGCACCGAGATGAGGCTGATTTTCCTGGCTGCCGGTTTTGGGCGGGTGTTCTCTTTTGGGGATAGGGGTACATAGATGCGGATTAGCAGTTAGGGCCCAAATGCTTTGCTATTTCTAGGTGAATTTTGCCTTGGCCCAGGACACGGGAGCAAAAAGGCGTTATCTTTAACTTAAAGGATCTCGGACGTTGTAACTAGGCTAAGGACTCGACTTAGAATTCGGTAAAAAGAGTCGCCTTTCAGAACTATAGATAAAAGGTCCCTAAAGTCTTCAAAGCGACCAATTAACTCTTTTCGCCGGATTACCTCTTTGGTCCTTTAATTTCTTTTCCCAAGCTGCTGTGATCTCGAGAAATTAAAAATAAAACTTGGCCTACCGTGGGGAAAAGCCAGCAAGTACTTTTCCAGGCTTAGGCGGGCCCGGCCTGCTGTGAAACAAGGGAAAGCTTTCTGGGCCTTTTGGCTTCCCTCTGTTCTCTCAGAAATGCTTTTATTTGGGGCGGGGAGGGGTGGTCTGAGCCCTGAAAGTAAGCAGACCCCAGTTTCTGCCTAATTCTGTCACCCTGGCTCCCTCCTGAGTCTGGCTGCCCCCAGATTAAGCCTCTTTCTCACTTTCCCCGGAAGAGATCCCCTGGCTTCTCTCTGGGCTCCTCTCAGTAACAGGAATTCAGTGGGTATGAGTCTGGTGTTTCCCCTCTTTGGGTGAGCATACAAGCCCATCTCCTCTGAACGGGTGTACTGGAATTAAGAGTGAAAAGCCCACAGTTTTTCTTTTGATAGAGCCGCTGCCTACACTCCCTCAGCTCCTCAAAGACAGCTAGATCTTCAGAACCGTTTTTCGAGAGCCCCAGAGCGCTGAGCTGAACTGCTGAAGATATACACTCCCTGATGTGTGGAGAATTGGTAGGTAGCTGGGCAGGTCAGCCCCGCCTTCTGACTCAGTTAGGCTGTTTAGGCCTGAAGTTCAGAAAGCAGTTTGTGGATATTTAACTACAGGGGCATCTAAGCATTTCTCTGAAGCACCGCCCCTCATCTCCTCTTATTTGTGGATTTGCCATGGAGTATCTAGAGGGATTCCTTCAGGTGAGAACAAGCAGAGTCTGACATCCGTTCTAGATGTGACGCCATGCTATCTTTTAATTTTCCGTTCCAGTTTCCCTGGCTCTAGGACTAGAGTCTTGGGGAGTAGAGCAGAAGGCTGTTAAAATTCAAGCCTTTTGCAATGCCCATCTGCCCACCAGCACCTTCTGGAGTGCAGGAACCTTGAGCTCCATGGTCTTTGTTCAAGAGGGGATTCCTTCAGCATCGTGTGGTCCTCCTCAGATTGGTCTCCAAAATGTATAAAGAATCACAAAATCTAAAACCAGCCGAGGAAGACTTGGGCGAGGGCACCTAGGAGGCCAAGCTGAAGCCACACCAGGTCCAAGCTTGAGGAGAATAAGAATTTCAGCTGCACAACCAGGCTTGGCGCATTTTTTCTCTCCCTCCGCTTCCACCAAATACTCAGGGATGCCGGAGCCTTCCAAATTGAGAACAAGTAATTGGAGGGGAGGAGGAAGGTAGAAGAAAGACTTCCGGAGACTAAGCTGTGAGGGACGAAGGGTTCAGGTCTCAGCTGGTCATACCACATAATTTGAACATTCACTAACTTTTGTTTTCGTTTCTCAATTGCATTCCTTTAAGAAAAAAAGCTTGAGGGAGGTTTATAAAACCAAAACTTGATTATAATTTTCCACTAAGAACACAAGCAAGTAAATGGGTTGGTTATGTGCAACACATAAGAAAAGCAGCTCTGTCGGAGTCAACACTAAAATTAATTAAAGTAACATTAAAATTGGGGCAGTCAAATTAAAACCTCCTGCTTGAGACCGCCTGTTGCTGTGTTCCCATACTTTTTTTTTTTGCAGTGTATTTGTGTGTGACATGCATCTTTAGAAGCGGATTAGACCTTACTGGGTAACTTAGTCCTTGTCACGCAGAGAGTATTGCCTGTGTGCCTGTGGTTGGCATGGTAGGACTGTGAGTCAGTGCTCAGCCTCAGTCTCAATCTGTCAGCTCACTCATGTTCAGGTCTGCTCTTTTGTGAACTGGAGTTTGAGAACCTGCTGGGCTTTTTGCAGGGCAGAGGGCCTCCCACGTGTAGCTGCGAGACAGGTTGTTCTTGAAGACCAGCGCTGGTGCTCCAGCACACCAAGTTCCATTCTTCCTCTGGATCTGTTAAACACAGGATCTGTAAGCACAGGTCTTAAGAAGGATGTTGACTAGGCGTCATGAGAGAAAACCCCACCCAGTTCAAGGAGAGTCGTGTGAACGCCAAAACTCAGTTTTCTAACTAGAAGAAATCTTTCCTTTATCTTTCCTTCAGTTTGGACACTGCTTTTTAATGTGAGTTTAAGCAGATTCTTCTGACTGTTCTGGCTATGGATTGAAATATCTTTTCAAACTGCAGTCTTTTTCTGCCCACCGATCTCTGCTACCAGTTCTGACTGACCTGTAATTAATTAGATTTTGATTTCAGGTCCAGTTTCTAACTTAACCCGCTCTATAAATACAGTGGAACTCACCTGCTCAGCTCCCTTTCTGTTACCTCCACTCCCCCCCCCGCCAAGAAAATAGTGTGGGAAGCCTCGCTTCTCCAGGCTGTCTGGGCTTCTGATTCAGCAGTGTCATCCAGACAAGCCAGCCTTTCCAACCCTGGGCTCTGGGCTCTGAAGATAAGGGAGTAAGTGTCATGGTCAAGGTGAGAAGCTGTAATCGAGGTCCCTTGTGGCTGGCTTCCTCATCCCAAACTTTTCCTTTAGAGGAGAATCCTGGGTAGCCATAGGCTACGGTGTCTGGGAAGGACAGATCATCTGTGACTGTAGAATCCTCCTTGGTGTGTATCTGCAGTGTGTGTGTGTGTTATATAATGATGTTTTATGTACATTATATATATAATCAGTTCTTTTAAATGTTATTGAAGGAGAAAGAAAGAAGCATTTGCTTAGGTATTGAAGAGGAGGATAGGATAGGAAAGTGAGGTGCCCTTTATTATGAAAAAAAAAAGCAAATGGCAGCTAGAGAGGTTGATTTTGGGAAACTGACTCTATTTTGTCTCCTGCTGAAGCATCTTGATTGCTCTGGGTTCCCAGCTCCAGTGTGATTGGACTACCCAGTCTGCTTCCTTAGATTTCTTTTTTTTAATTTCCCAGAGAAATACTTGGCCACGTGTGTTAAGGGAGAGTTCATGAAAGCCAGATAAGGAGATCCTGTCTGGCTGTGCACCCAGAGCCAGGAAGAAGCTGGGAGCAATTAAAAATCACCTGGTTCTTATAGCTATGGATTGCAAAGCTTATCTGGCTTTAAGGTGGCTTGATTTGAACCCAGGGACCTTAAGAAAAGCCAGATAAAAAGAAATTCGGGGACAGCATGACTGTCACTTAGAAACTTTCATTCAGAGCTGGCTTTGTGGTAAAGAATCTAGCTCTCACCTTGCTAGCTTTGTTCCATAGGCTAGCTGAAGGGAGGTGGGGGCAATGACTGACCAAGGACAGGAGGCTGGCCTCTCTGGTGGCCTTGTCCCTGGGTGAAATGGCAGGGATCTCAGGAGTTGGCAGCATGGGCATGCGACTTCTCTGTGACAGCATTGAAGCTTGTCTGCTTACTGCCACATCTCCTTCCTCACCTAAGGACTCAAAGAAGTCTCCTGAGCTCTTCCTTCTCGTTGGGTCTCAGCTCCCTTCCCTGCTTCCTCCTGGTTTGGCCGACTCTGAGGGGCATGGGAATGCTAGTGTCTGTCTGGTGGAGACTGGGACACACTTACAGGAAAAATGAGGGTGCTCCTGCTGGAACCAAAGTCTGTGCCAGGCAGAGGTCCCCCAGCCTGCTCCTGGCATTGTAAATCTGGAGGATGGCAGTACTCTCCACTTACAACCAACTTTTCCTTTCCCTGATGGATGAGCTCCGGGGTTTAAAAGATTACAGTAATCACAGGAGGACAGTGTAAATCGAATGTGATAGCAATAACTTTTGGAGAAGGTCAGGCTCAAGTGAAATGTTACCAAGCAACAGGCATTTTGTTTGCAAAATACAATCACAGAGCATTGATGAGAAATTCTTTTCTGCAGCCAGTCAGCACTTTCTGTTAACAGCTTTACAGAGGGAAGGGGGTAAATCTTCATAAATCAAAGGCCCTGCAGGACTTGGAACCTTTTCTGGTGGAACTGTTGCCTTTCTTCCTGACAGGGAGGAGTGCCCAGTGAAAACCCGTGTGCCTGCCTGCTCTTAATTCCTTCCTTCCCTCCCTCCTTCCTTCCTTCCTTCCTTCCTTCCTTCCTTCCTTCCTTCCTTCCTTCCTTCCTTCCTTCCTTCCTTCCCCGTTTAACCTGTTGCAGCCCCCTCTAGCCATTAGCCACTCAGGTCCTTGGAGTCCCTTAATCTCGTGTGTCTCTGATGACATTTGGCCATCACAGGACCCCACTTTGTCCCACCACTTTGTCATACACGCGCTCTGACCCACAGCACCTTAGCTATCCCCAGGCCTAAACAACACACGCTATTTTTCTGAGGAGGAGAATTAAGGTAGAGAGGAAGGCGACAGTTTGTTTCTTTTCTTTCTTTTTTTGTGGTTAAACTGACTTTTAAAAAGAACAATTGTCCTACATACAAATAATGGCACATTATGAAAAA